ACACCACATCTTCTTTATCCATTCATCTGTCGATGGACATCTTGGCTCTTTCCACAGTTTGGCTATTGTGGACATTGCTGCTATAAACATCGGGGTGCATGTACCCTTTCGGATCCCTACTTTTGTATCTTTGGGATAAATACCCAGTAGTTGCACTGTTATGTTAACCAACTAGAATTTAAATTAAAAAAAATTTTTTAATTAAAAAAAATTTTTTTAAAAAAGGAATTGTCTAGGCATAATGCACATATGGCCGACAATATTATGTACACTTGGAAACTGTTGGGTGAGTGTTTTTTTACCACAATTAAAAAAGAAAAATTAAAAAAAATTTTAAAAAATAAAGTGAGACGTTCAGAGCAGTGTTCGTTCATTCAAGAACATTCTTTGAGCACTTAAATTCCAGACAATGTTCAGTCATACCATGTCCCATGAAATAAGTCTCCTAGGAGACTTTGTACACGGAAAATGCCTTTGAAGGGTAAATAATTTTATTGCCTCTATTATATTCTATTTATACTGTCCCTACTATATACATAATTTATATTGTCTCTACTATATATACGCAATGCCTCAAGAAGAGATATTTATAGCATTAATATCTCCAGAAAAAGTTGATAAAATTCAGTTATGATAAAATCAGTTTTACTTATAATTAATAACAATAATGTACCTATAATTTATTAAGTCCCCATTAAGTGCCAAGCCCTGAGGCCAAGCCCTTTTCTTTTCAAAATATAAAGATTTTAATTTTTATTTTACTTTTTTTTTTAAGTAGGCTCCATGCCCAATGTGGGGCTTGAACTCATGACCCTGAGATCAAGAGTTGCTTGCTCCACTGACTGAGCCAGGCAGGCACCCCCAAACCCCTTTTCATATATTCTTAATCTGTAGAACTATCCTGTGAAAACAGCAGCCTTACCCCCATTGAACAGATAAGAAAACAGGCCTAAACAGGTAAGCAAGTGAATCAGTAACACACAGTTCATGAGTGACGGAGCTAGGATCCTCAGTATCTTAAGAGGGCCCAAGACAGTAAGTTCTAGGGCCATTATTGACTTCTACAAGGGGCAAGTCCACCACGATATCATCTGACTACACTATCCAGGATCCAGCCACTAAAAGACAACATCATTCACTTAATTCACCGTGCTTATTGAAAATTACGGACACGGTGGGGAATAATGGAAATGACATGGGGCAGCGGTCCCACTTCTTAGTGGGGCCACAAGGTGATAAATGCTTTTGACTTATAGTAAATCTGATAAAGAAACAAAGACATGTCACAAAGGAGTGACAAATTAGTTGTGATGTGTAATAATTAGGGTTTTAGTTAATCGCAGTGCACATACTAATTTACAACAAAACGAATGTTCAGGGGAAAGACCTTTTTAAACGTCCTCTCCCCACTCCCAAGTACTCACGTAATAGTTGAAGATTTTCTGGGAAAATGATCTTCTGTGATATTTTTCTTAACTCTAAAACACAAAAGAAAACGATTTCTAAGTGGCACAAGTGAATAATATAACTTAATATAAATTTCTATGGAATGGGTGATTTTTGCTTTTGAACATTTGTTAAAGAGGATAAGCAGCAAGAAATGGGCTGGTACCAATGACAGGCTGGTAGGAACTGTAAGCGTGACGCTCTGCTGGGTGGGACATTGCTGTGGGTTGAATGTCTGCGTCGCCCTAAAATCCACATATTGAAGCCTTAACCCCCCAGGGGATGCTCTCTGGAGGTTGGGCCTTTGGGAGGTAATTACGTTTATTTGAGGTCATGAGGGTGGGGCCCCCATAAAGGGATTAGTGTCCTTTTAAGAAGAAGAAGAGGGATCAGACCTCTCTCTCTCCCTTCCACGTGGGAACCCAGTGAGAAAGTGACCGTCTACCAGCCTGGAAGCAAGCTGTCACCAGAACTCGACCATACGTCATGCTGCTTTCAGATGTCCAATCTCAAGAAGTGTGAGAAAATAGCTCTCTGTTGTTCAGGCCACGCGGTCCGTGGTGTTTTGTTATAGCAGCCCAAGCCGACTGGGATAACCATGAATACAAACATTTTAGGGTCGAAAAGACTTACTTTGGGACAGACGTCCTATCGGTAAAAACAGGTCTTTGTCTTATCAGCTGTCTGCTTCTGGGAGGAAGCTGTACCGCCTTGGGTATTTCTCCATTTGAAAGGGTATCCACTTGAGGAGGAGCACTGTACTTATCTGGAAGAGCATTTTCATTCATGAGTCTCCATTACCTTCGTCATCAGCAAGTGAAAAGCACAAGAAAATACTACAATACTGTCTACACTGGCACTCGAAACCAACAAGCTCTTGGCTCTAGAGTCCACACGACAGGCATTTTTTTTTTTAAGATTTATTTATTTTAGAGAAAGAGCGTGAGTGAGAGCAGAGGAAGGGGCAGAGGAAGCGAGAATATTCACGCTGAGCACGGAGCCCGACGTGGGAGCCGAAACCAAGAGTTGGACGCTCAACCAACTGAGCCCCAGGTGCCCCCAGGTGCCCCCAGGCACCTGGGTGGCCCCAGGCATTTTTTAATATTAAAATAAAACCCAAGACGCAACATATAATGGTCCAAACAGTATGAGACTTACCAATGAAGTTCCAAAGTTTGCAAACCATTTAAAAGGCAACAAGACTTCTGTTCCTACGTGCAGAAATGAAATGGCAGCCAGTGACGGGCTTACCTGAGGACAGTAAGGTTCTCTCCTCAATTTTACAGCTGACCTCATCTTCAAGGAATTCTCGAATTTTCTGAATGTTGGGTATTTGTCTTTCTCGTTCATGTCTCGCTGATTCCACAGTTCTTAGCACCCTACTGAAGTGATCGCTTGGAATTCCACGTATATCCTGAAGCAATAAAATGTTAAGCTTATTAGCCTGGGACATTCTTCATTTCATGAGCATTTGTCGGCATAAATTGTGCCAACGTTTTGTCCTCACTGCTGCATGCGAGGGAGGGGACGCCCCGACATATAACACATTATTCTGGCCTCAAGAGGAGCTCCCAGAGCAGTGGGACATAGAGGGGGTGTGTATGAGTGCATGGGACTCGTCAGTGGTGCTAGGCTGTGAGTGCCAGGACCGAATGCACAGAGGGGTGTGTGTGTGTGTGTGTGTGTGTGTGTGTGTGTGTGTGAGTGAGACTGACCAACAATGCAAGCTGGGCCATCAGGACAGAATGAGTGCACAAGGACAGAACGGACATGCCTTCTTCTCTCCTCTGATCCTTTCCTATTGAGAAAACAAAATACAACACAACCAGTGAACGTTCCTGAAATGAAGGAGCTTACCGCATTAATCCCAAAGGTTTCCAGTTTCTCTAGCAAACTCTGCTCCAAGACACTCCTTATTTCCTTCATGAGGGAGGGGTTACTCTTCAAAGCTTTCCTTAAGTGGATCTTGTTGTGATTTAATTTCTGTTCATTCTCCCTTCCTGAAATAAGGTTTACAAAGTGTGTTAAAAAGTTAAATACATAAAAGCTCTAAGCAGAAAATAGCAAAACACCACTTTTAAACAGCAAGCAAGCATTTTGTAATGTGATAAGGTTTTTGGATTGTTTAATCATTCAGCTCAATATATGATGCTGAAGTATCACAACTTTTAAAACTACCTTAAGTTGGCCTCAAAACTTAGGTGTCTTTAAAGACTCTTTCTTTACCCCTTAACTGAATCAATACTAGATGAATAATGCAAGAGAAATGTCTCTGCAGAAGCACAGTAGAAAAAATGAATTCTTTAAATCTTTTTTGTTTTTTTTAATTTTTTTATTTATTTGAGAAAGAGAGAAACAGCATGAGAGGGGATAGGGTCAGAGGGAGAAGCAAGCTCCCCGCTGAGCCGGGAGCCCGATGTGGGACTCGATCCCAGGACTCCGGGATCGTGACCTGAGCCGAAGGCAAAAACTTAACGCCTGAGCCGCCCAGGCGCCCAAAAAATGAATTCTTTAGAAGTTCAATGGTTCATCCTAAAATTATTTTACTACTTTCTGAAGAATTCATCTCACCTAAATTATTAGAATTTATGTATCATTTTTTGAAGCCCCATTTACATTGAATAATTAAGTTCTGATTCAATAAATTCAGTAAAAATTTATCTAAAATTTCAAAATGTGACATTATCCCTCCCAAAATATTTACCAAAATGAAAAAGAGGTTAACAAAGAGTCTTAGGAAAAGTATATTCTGTTTAAAACCACCTATAATTAAAAGCAAAGGAAAAATAACCAGCCAGATTCTCCTAACTTTTCCTTCCCTGTTCCTCTTTCATTCCCCCACTAAAAAATGTGGTATTCAAGAGAATTTGGAGAAGGCGCGTGACTACATGACCCTGAAGATCGGAGTCCGACGTCAAAGCGGAGGCAGGGGCTTGATGGAAGAGGTTCCATCGGGGGCTGTTCAGACCCTTAGTGAAGGTCCAAAGCCAGATCTGGGAGAACACAACAGTGCTGTCATTTTGGAGTCTATTCTCCGAACAGGGGCATTTCACCCAACAAGGGTGGTGCCGAGTGCCCACGCCGAGTAGGTCTGGGGCTGCAGGGGGCTATGGTATTTTGAGGCCCGGCCTCACCCACTCCAGTAGATGGGAATTTTAGGGACCCACAGCAGAAGATCCACAACAAAATGCCCCAATGTCTCAGACATTCTCTAAACCCTCATTCAACTCCAGCAGTAAATTGTATTTCTGTTCATGAATCAACACTTCTGCTGAGGGCAAAAGTAGTCAAATTACTGCGTGTACATTAGAGAAGAGGAAAAGTCCTGCATGGTAATGCTGTTCTATAATTTGGTACTTCAGTTTGCGACACCGAAATTATAAAATTTTGTAAGATTATGTATTAGTAAAGATCAGAAGTAATCTTAAATTTTTGATTCCAGCATTCATGCTGCTTTCTCACCAGTGTTTTCCAATATTCTGGAGCCACCTTAAAAAAAAAAAAAAACACTTCTGGGGGCCCCTGGGTGGCTCAGTTGGTTGCGCGTCTGACTCTTGATTTTGGCTCAGGTCATGATCTCAGGGTAATGGGATGGAGTACCTCACCGGCTCTGCCCTCAGTGCAGTCTGCTTGTCCCTCTCCCTCATGCTCCTCTCCACCCCACCCCGCCCAGCTCACACTCTCGCTCTCTCTCTTTCAAATAAGTAAATAAATAAATTCTTTAAAAAAAAAAAAAAAGCACTTCTGTCCTAGGAACAATACATCAAAATCTAGAGGGCTTAGCTGCAGCTGTGGCCATGTCACGGGCTTTGGCGGCTAGCTGGCCATCAAGTGTAGAAAACTTTCTAGGGTGAACAACATGAAGAGGTACCGAGAGATTGCCTGGGAGTCATGGTGCTACCACAGAAAAAGACACACCTCCCGCCCTGTTTACCCAAGGGAATTTTCGGGCCAGGACCCAGGGTATAAAAGGAACCACACGGAAGCACAGACAGAGAGGCTCCAGGCTCTGTCTGCTCCAGGACCCGGGTCAAGCGAACTGAATTTGTTTGCTGATTGGGTTGGGTTCACCCTCAACCCTGATGATAAGCTCCTTCTGATGACCAAGTTTCCCAAAATGACTGCAAATTAAACATTTCCCCTCTGTCCTCAAATTCACTTTCTATGTTGATGCTTGCTTTAGATTCCTTTATGGATAAGGCGAGAACTCTTGGTAGGAAGGACTCTTAACAAGGCTGGGGCTGGCTGGGGGAAGCGAGAAAGAATGTAGAATGGACAGGAAAAAGAAAAAGAAAGTTTTTAATGTAATGGTGGAATTAATCACTGGAAAGCCTATCACAACAGAAGATTTTAATCAAAGACAAAACTTTCCCAGGCAGGTAGCCCAATGCACAATAGCCCACACAAATGATCATTTCTATCAGACATACAACGTACCATTTTTGGTGAGCAAATAACTACAGCACAAAGCGAAGAGTAAAAAACAAAACCCAAAACGGAATTCCTGGGTCAGAAGGGACGTCATCATCTAGGAATCAATCCTCTCATTTTTCACATGAGAACACTAAAACCAGAGAGGGAAAGGCACCCCGCTAGTCCTGGACCAGCCTGCCTCTGTCCCTTTGTTCTCTGCGGTAAACTCTGGAAAGCTGAAAACCTGGACTGGAGTTCCAGCCCTGTCACGAATTAAGCTCAACGACTTGGAGTAAGCTCCCAATCCCCCTGTGTTTCAAGTTCCTGAACAATGAAATGGCCTCTAAGACCCCTGCTGGCCCACATTCTAACATCCCATAGCAAGGGTTGAATATGCCTTTCCGGGACTGTCAAAATCGTAAGGACGCAGAAGTGGTCATGCATGTAAGTACGCGTGCATGCATACTTCTGGGTAACAGCCATCGTGCTTTGCAAACCACTGCCAAAATTTAGCTGTACAGGCATCATCTGCAAAATGTTAGCCCAGCTGAGGAATTTATTGATGGCAATTAATCTGCCGCCGGCATGCTGGCTCCACGGAGGCACTGAAGGGTTCGCTGGGTCACTGGCTTATGTAACAGTGTGCCTGGGACTCAGGCCTGTCTGGCGGCCCTCGGCCCTCTCCTCTCTGCAACCAGAGCTGTGTCCGAATACACGGAAAGGGTTATTTTCTTTCCCAATCTGGTTCCCCGCATGCGGCAATAACCAACGATGGTGTTCGCTGCCCGTGATCCCAAACTCACACCTTACGTGGTCTGGGTAGAAGAATTTTAAAACACAGGCAGAAGGATGTCATGGGTATAAGTGGGGACCCCGAGGGGTGACAGTGGACAAAGTGAGGACGGTCTCTTGGAATCTAACAGACTCGTTTTTTTTTTAAAGGACTGTGAACTTGAGACTCCATATGACCGCCGGACACATTTCATAGATTCTGCAGAAAATAAGATATTTTGGACCTCCTGACACATTACATAGATTCTGCAGAAAATAAGGTATTTGGTGTTCCAGACATCAATAAATAACATGTAGGAGGGAGAAAGCACATTACTTGAAAGCAAATGGAAAATAAACATCGCACAGATATTATGGATGTGCCTGATTGAGTCACTTCTCAATTTGTAGCCTTGATTAAAATAATTTGGAAAGGGATGCCTGGGTGGCTCAGTTGGTTAAGCATCTGCCTTCGGCTCAGGTCATGATCCCAGGGTCCTGGGATCCAGCCCCGCATCGGGCTCCCTGCTCAGCGGGAGGCCTGCTTCTCTCTCTCTCTCCCTCTGCTTGTGCTCTCTCTGTCAAATAAATAAAATCTTAAAAAAAAAAAATAACTTGGAAAAAGTCATCTAGAGAACACAGAAAAGTTACAACAAATAATTAAGAATTTACAAATTGGAATATACATTTTAATTTTCTTCCTAACACAAATGGTAAAACCAGAGTTCATATAAATATTATTCAAGTGTAACTGTTTCAAGATGTACAAGTCTGGCATTAGAAAATACTCTTAATAATGTGGAATGATTTTCTTAAACTTCAAAAATGAATTGACAGAAAATAATTTTGAGAGCTGCTGAATAAAAGGAGTAAGCCACAATAACTTTAATTATCTCCCCAAACCTTGAACAGTTCCCAAATTTCAACATGAAGTCATTACCCTGGGGATCCCTGGGTGGCTTAGTCGGTTAAGCCTCTGACTCTTAATTTTAGTTCGGGTCATGATCTCAGGGTCGTGGGATCGAGCCCAGCATTGGGCTCCGCACTGGGCGTGGAGCCTGCTTAAGATTCTCTCTCTCTCCCTCATCCTCTCCTTCTGTCCACCATGTGCCCTTGCTCTCTCTCTATAATAAATAAATAAATCTTTTTTAAAAAAAGACATTATTCTGCACATAAATATTCTACATCAAGAGCATAAATATTATGCTTTTTTTTTTGCTGTTAAAATAATTTTGAAATGGGCAGTTCACCCTCTCACAGATTCAGGATGTGAGAAATAGCTACTGTGCTAGGAATATTTTTTTCCCTAAAAAGATTTTATTTATTTATTTATTTATTTATTTATTTAATTTATTTCTCAGAGAGAGAGAGCACACACAAGCAGGGGGAGCAGCAAGCAGAGGGAGAAGCAGGCTCCCCACTGAGCAGGGAGCCCGATACGGGGCTCGATCCCAGGACTCTGGGATCATGACCTGAGCCGAAGGCAGGTGCTTAACCGACTGAGCCACCCGGGCGTTCCCTAGGAATATTTTTGTATCATCTGGTGCACAATGCATTTGTGTTGACTTGTCATCTGACCAGAAAATATCTGCGTTGACAAAAAGACTTACATTTTTTTCCCCAAGTTCCCCGACATAGGAAGATCTTAGTCACATGCTAAGAATACAGTAAAGCAGGGGAAAATATAACAGCATGTTAAAGGAATAAGGTGACAGAATACAACAGATGGATTGAAAATGTAATCTCCAAACCTAAATGTCTTCCCTAATTTTGATAACGGTGTGATAAAAACCACTGGATTGTAAATTTCAAGGCTTGGGTTTTACCATCTCAATCGAATCTATGCAGGTGGAAACCCTGAGTGAGCCCTTGGTTACCTTTTTCTTCCTCTGAAAGCTCTTCTATTGGTTCCAGTATGTGCGATGAGAATGCCTGTTCTATTAACGAGGAAAAATAAGAATAGTACAAACAGGACAACAGCAAAGTAAAATTAGTTTCCTTTTAAACAATTTTGAAAGATACAGTTCCACAGTATTTTAATAATGCCTAAAACAGCAGAATTTGCTGGGAAGAAATATGGAGGCGGTCAGTTAAAGCTGGTCCCTTTTTCATGGTATCTGCTCTTTCATGTATTTTCCATTAACTCCCCCTGCCTCAGGAAATTATGTTTTCAAATAATTATGTCGTTTCTCACTCAGCAACCTCGTGCCTGACGGGATTCTTTTAAGACACAAGGTCACAACTGCAAAAGGTCTTCTTCACTTATCCCCCCAAAATACCTTCCTTATAAAATATTTTGATTGGGTGGTTAAAGAGAAAATTAATGAAACTATTTCAATTCCCAAAGATAAAAACATGACAAAATGCCCTGGGATTCCCACTTCTCACTAGCCCCAGGGTCTTCAGGTGGGAGGACCAGGATGGCGAAGGACAGGTGAACCCAGCAACAGCAGCAGGACTAAGACCCCTTCTTAGACACCTCTGTGTCCCTAAACCACGGTTCAACACCTCCTTCTGCTCCCAGAGAGCCACCGGGGCGAGGCTGTGGACAGATGACACGTGAAGAGGGGCTGTTCCCAATCCCACCCCAGAGCAGTGCCCAGGGTGGGTTAGGCCTCTGGGTGACTTCCCAGGTAATGTGACTGGGGCTCAAGGAAATCCGTGGGCTGCATGGATAAAGCCAAACGCCATCCTTTCAAGGGGGAAGTTCCTACTTGGGGAAGGTCAGGTTTTTGCAGTCAGGTAGTCAGGCTTTAGACATTGGCATAAAATGCAATCGGAAATCTAGCTGAGGAAGTGTGTGCTTCACTCACCTTCGGCTTGGAGACTGCCCCGGGCCCCCTCCCCAGGGAGCTCCCCACCTGCACCTACAAGGAGGAGGCCATTCCTCTCCACACCAGACCCCACAGTGGGCGACCAGCGAGGGGAGTTGCCCCCCAGCTTGTCAGGCACAGATGACACGCTTTGCACGTATTAGCTTAGATTTAACACCTCCCACTTTGAAGTTCTAGCTTTTAATTTACCGAAGGGTATTTCTAATTCTGTTTTAGGGCATCTACAAACATACGCACACACGTATTGGTATACACAAATAAATAAATATATATTATATTTAAGTACACATAAATAGGCTCTTACAGCTTGTTAGCAACCTAGTCAATCTCTCTGACATTGACTGGGAGAAAAGCATTGTAAACTGCTTTCCAATGAACATTTGGAACACAGCCTATTAGGAAATAGCAGTCCACTTTAATTTTGAAACATGAACATGATCGTACAAAGAGGCATTTAATTCCATCCATGCACCACAACTGATGAACATGAAAAATGCGCTTTCAAGGGGCGCCTGGGTGGCTCAGTCGGTTAAGCGACTGCCTTCGGCTCAGGTCATGATCCTGGAGTCCCGGGATCGAGTCCCGCATCGGGCTCCCTGCTCGGCAGGGAGTCTGCTTCTCCCTCTGACCCTCCTCCCTCTCATGATCTCTGTCTCTCATTCTCTCTCTCTCGAATAAATAAATAAAAAAATCTTTAAAAAAAAAATGTGCTTTCAAATGTGTTATTCAGCATCAAGATTTTAAAGTTATATAAATAAAGAAAAAAAAACAACCTGTAGCTGTATGTGGTAATGGATGTTAACTAGATCCCGTGGTGATCATTTCACAATATATATAAATACCGACTCATTATATTGTACACCTGTGCTAATATGTTATAGGTCAATTATATCTCAATAAAGAATTAAAAAATTAAAAAGTAAAGTTATACAAATAGACTATTTACTAGTTTGAACTGCTGAAAATAGGGGTTTTAGGAGGATGGCTAATTTCAGTTTTTTAAGTCACATGATTTATATTTTATTGTATTTTATGGAAATGACAAAAATAAAGTTAGGAGGAAAAGCTCTATAAAATCTCCCCAAACCATCATATACATATTTGTTATCATTATAAGGATAGTCCTAGGACTTACTTCTCTTGAGTTGAAACAAGGCATCAAAATGGTGACCTTTGGTGCTGGGAGGCAGAGGGTGGGGCTCTAGGGGAGGGAAACTGGGCTCCTACTATAAAAGCTATAAAGGGAGTGAGGTCCACCAGACTTCAGCTCTAAACTAGCAGACTGATGTCCAAGTGTGGAGTGAAGGGCCTGCCGTTCGTATGTTTTATGAGCCAAAGGCCCAGCCTCCAAATGACCCAGGTCTTGTCGTAAGTTGAGATATCCAGGCTGAGCTGATATACTCGAAGACCCAAGTCTCTCCCCTCTGAACTCTCCAGAGGCTTCCAGAAAAATCCTTATGTCAGTGCCCTACCATTCCCTCCAGAAGACGAACTCCCAGGTCTGTACCTGGCCCTCTCTGGCACTGGCTGGCTGTGTCGGACTTTGTCAGCCCGACCCCGGAAGCCAACAAGGGCCAGTGCTTTCTCAGTGGCTCCTGTTCCAAAGGTCCTGCTTCATTTGATCCTTAGCACAGCCCACCGAAGTAGCTGTACTGTTCTCCTCATTTGGCAGGCAAGGAATCCCAAACCTGTGGCTTCATGAGTCAACTGTGAACCCAGACTGCTTGCTTCCTTTCAAAGTCCAGGCTCTTGGCCAGGAAACCATAGTGCCTTCCTACTGGCAATTTCTGCGTTTGTCTCCCGGGCTTCTCTACATGGCACTGTCTCTGTGAGCTCATGGTGTTCTTAACCCGTCCCTCACCCTTGCCCGAATCACCTGCACCTGCAACTTCCACCAGCTCCATGGAACAGCTGGTATATCTGCCCCCTCGTTTCAAAACCTCAACCCCAATTCCTAGGTGAAGAATCACCCAGAGACCATTCCTCGATCCCCAGCTGGTCTGTCCAGCTCTAAATCCTTGAGTACACTCTGGTCAGGCTGAGCTTCCCCAAGCCCAGCCCTCCCGTCTGGCCACGCCCAGCCTCAAGAACATTCAGCGGCTACAGAATGTCACAAGAATGGCCCGACCAGCTAGAGGCTGGTACCGGGTGCTCGCCATGAACGGTCTCAACCAGCCTCGCTTCCCTCAAGTCTCTTCTGCCTACCCTATGCTCGGCCAAATAATTCATCTGCACCACTCATCCCCATCTCGTGCTTTCCTCTGACCTTTTGCTTCGACTTTTTGCTTTGTCTCTGGGGAGGGGAGCAGCCTACACCCCTGACAACCCCCATCTCATAACTGATCCCTGAATCCAGGACAATTCTGAAGAGCCCATCCCAGCTCTAAAGCTCCCAGTGAGATGTGCAGAGGCCCGCACTGCAGTGCGCCTAGGTTCAGGGCCCCCTTCCACCCACTCCTGCTTCTCTCACAGGGGTTGGCCAAGAGCATGGCCCAGTAGACCTCCCAGCTGCAAACCTCCACCTCAGAGTCTGTTTCCCGGGGAACCCAACCTAAGACCGTGACGTTTTTCATGGTGAAGAGCCTCATCAAGCTCCTAGACGGAACAAAAGGAAAGATTGAGAGGTAATCGGGCTAAATAATGTTACGTAATACAGATAAGGCTCCCCGCCCCTGCCCCCTACAGCTGGGGACATTGCCATGGCTGGGGGTGGGGGGGCCAGGTCAGTGGGCCCCCCCGTACAAGCCTCCTCCTTGCTCCTGCCCATTGAGATGCTCACAAATCAGCTCAGATCCCAATCCAAAGGCTGCAGGCCTCATGCCAGGTGTGGCTGGCATTTAAAGCTAGCATTTTAATCCCAGCAGATGCCAGCAAGGGGTCATGGCTGGTTCACGCAGCACAGTTCCAATCAGGGCAAAGTCCGTAAGGAACACAGTGCTTTGGAACTGATGGATTGGTCAGGACTCGAATCAACTCCAGACAGCTAAACATGCCTACTATAGGAGTCCTTTATTGGGTGCCAAAAATATGAAGCAAAGAAAATGTAGTCCTCATACACTGTCACACAAAAGGCCAATAATAACAAAGTAGCAAAAAAAGAAAAAGAAACCCTAACACACTGCTGAAGTACAGAGAAGTGGCCAGCAATGCATTAGAAAACTCAACCCTGAAAAAGAAGGCAAGAGAGAGATTTTAGACCCGACATAAAGAATATGAATAGAGAGCACTTGCCAGGGGACATCTTCTTGTCTATTCAATATTAAGGCAAATTTACCTAGGTCCCACACACATTTTACCTCTGTTGCCGGTCCAGAAAGAGGACACCTGTATGTTCTAAACACTTGTAAATACTAACACCGAGTAAGTGGGGAGTTGACGCGTTACATAGTGCGAACACATGCTCGGGATACTGCCCTGCCTGAAATGACCTCAGGACAAAAAGTAAGGGGCAATAAACACCTTCATGAGTCCGTCCAGTGAACAAAAACAATGGGTACAGGAGGCCATGCTAATATGAAAAATATTTCTGAACACACAAAGTCTGACTTGACTGACCGTGGATTTAAGTCTAACTCGAAGGCTAAAAAGCAAAATGGAAGGAAGTAATCACTTACATTCCAGAAGCATTTGTAGGTAAGACAGAAAAGTCGGTCCCCTCCCATCCCATCTTTTAATTCAGTTAATATACAGCAGACCGTAGGCAAACAATGGACTAAAAACATACTTGCAAAAACCGTAAGTGCCTTAACAGTATAAAAATAAAATATGGCTACCGATATCCCCCCTGTCTACTGGATCACGTAATTAACAATTACCACCCTTGCGCCCTGGTCCAGGAACTGATTCCTGGCAGTGCTCTCCTCCCGTGGCTCCCACTTTTCCCTTTGGTTTCCATCACATGTCTTTTCTAGATTTTTCCAACCAATCACTGAAACTGTTTGCTTAAAAAAGGTGACTTGCTGCCACACTGAAAGTTATAAAAACAGTCACGTATGCCCTGTGGCATGTGCTGGTTGGCTGGTCTAGTAGAAAATCACCTTCTTAACCCAACACCTACTACTCTCCACCCAAAATCATACACAATCCAAGTACTGCTCAACGTTAAGATCTCTGCTTGTGAGTCTAGCAACATATACATTTTTTACTTTATGACTTTGGCAGGTATGTTCACAGTTTATGATAATATTACATATGAAGACAGCAGTTTTATTAACTGCTCTGCATTCACTAAAACGTCTTCTGTTTTGCATAGTTACCCCACAGAAGCACTTGTGGTTAATAAGTTGTCTGACTCAGGGCAGAAACTGCACATAAAATGCTGAGACTTAGCTGAAACTTACCATGTGCCATTGTGAGACCTGATTTAGCATCCACAGTCTGTGCGGCTGAGGCACTCACTGAAACAGCAGAAAGAGAAAAAGCTCACAGCCTTCCGTAACGAAAGCATAAGCATCTCAACTTGATGATGATCCAGTCCTCCTCAAATTAGTCAAGCTATATACAGATCGTAAGGGACGCATGTTTCAAGTGATGATCACCAGCTAACTAAACCAATTCTATAAATAGCAATTCTATATACACCAAAAAATAATTTGCCCTTTTAAAATATACAATTCAATATAAAATATACAACTCTAAGTATACAATTGAAATAATCAGAGTGGTGCAACCATAACCACTACCTAATTTTAGAACATTTTCATCACACGCGCTAAAAACACCCATTAGCCATGACTCCCCAAGTCTGCTTCCCCACGGCCCCTGGCAACCACGGATCTACTTTCTGTCTCTAAGGATTTGCCTTTTCTGGACATTTCATATAGAATGGACTCATACATTGTGGTCCTTTGTGACTGGCCTCTTTCACTTAGCATCACGTTTTCAAAGTTCATCCATGTTGGGGTGCCTGGGTGACTCAGTCGGTAAAGCGCCTGGCTTTTGATTTTGGTTTGGGTCATGATCTCAGGGTCCTCGGATAGCCCCTGCATTGGGCCCCTCGCTCAGCAGGGAGTCTGCTTGAGGAGTCTCTCCCTATCCCTCTGCCATTCCCCCAGCTCTCTCTCCTCTCAGAAACAAATAAACCTTAAAAAAAGAAAAAGAGGTCCCCAGAAGCACCTGAGAAAACCGAGCAGTTAAAACCATTAGCATTTTCCAGTCAACTGGGCCAAATTCCCAAACCCTCTCATCAATGCCTTTTCATAGCTTACAGTCCTGGGGCCACATGAATGGTACCATCACTCAGGGCCCAGCCTCAGCCTGGACCCTCCCCTGGTATTCAGATCCCCGTTCACACGCACGTCCTCTCTTGTCCGGGACTGCTTGCTCCCTAGCTTCCTCCACCCTTACACTTTCCTGAATGGAATAATAAAATAATAAAAATATTTCAACTATTTAACTATTATTAGGAAAACAATCTGTCCATTTCTACACTGTACAGATTATGTCTTTGTGGATTATAGCCAAATCCTGATGGCTCCAAGACACAGACGTGCTGAGCCCACCTCAAGTGAGCAACTGACAGAACATCGGGTCAAAGCCTGCAAATCTGAGTCTCAGGGATGCTAAAATGGGGCAGCTAGCACACTGTCACATCGTCACACAGTGTAATGTCTTGGGAAACCACAAGTTCAAACTGAAGCAATGCCAAAGAATTTATAGCTGTCCCTTGATTAGGTGAACTGAGAATAACAGGTATTGCTAACGCAAATCACCACAAAATCACATGGATATTCACAGTCTGGGGTTTTTAGAACTAGGTCAAAGCCAGGAATCAAAATAGATCATTATGTAATCTCCAAACACACCGGTTTTCAAAGGAAAGCCTCTAAACATAGTAAGTTGTGTATTGTTTTAGCACTTTAAAAATATCTTCAGAATCCTGAGCCTTTTATAGAAACTTACTAGGTACAGCTGGGGCAGTTGGCTTAGATTCAAAAGTTTGCCGAGTTGAAGGAGTCCCTGAAATTTAAAAAAAATTAATTAATTAATGACAAAAATCACAAGTTACGGGTTTTATTTTGCCAGTGCTTATCTTAATCTTTTCCCCCAGAAAAAAATAAACAAAATTTACCAACATACGGTGACTCACCCAGCTGGGTAAAGACTGAGTTTAACGTAAATCCTTATAAAACTTGCCCTAAAATTATTACCACTCAGATATTTATGCTGAGTGATTACACAGCTATTGCTCACTACCCGAACTCTCGCTGTTTCGAAGAGAAGTTACAGGGAACCTGGCCCTTCTCAAACCTTTATTTCAAAACAAGAAGGAACCAAGTATGTAGGTCAATGAACCCCCTGCGGGGCCCCTAAAAACAAGGAGGAAACGCAGCTCACGCACCCACTGCCAATCCCCAGTCGGTGCCCAAGTAGACAAGTATCCTTTAATGACCTGAGATGAGTGGGAACCACGAGCTGGGTTATTCGAAAGGAGTCTAGGTAAGACAAGCTGTACGCTCTATTGGGAGATCTTGCATGCACTTCTGGCTCCAGTGTCCCTTCTAGACTCGCTCCTGAGGGAGCAGGAGATGGGTGGTTATCACTGCCACAGTCAGTAGGCTGGATGTGCCCCCACTATGCTTAGAACACACCTTTAACCCCCAACTGTCTCAGCTGACAAGGACGCAGCCAGCCCCTACAGTACGTTAGAGTAACTGAGGTTGGGGTCCTTCACGATGGCTCACCCCCATGAGTGCTCAACAGGTGCAATTTATGTATGTTCCCCATTTAATCCTCATAAGAAGCCTGTGATGTGATGTAGTTACTCTTAATGCTCCAACTCTAGAACTGAGGAAATGAAGGCAGACACTCGCAGAGCTACACTGAGGCCAGTCTGTCTCTAGACCGAGTGCTTTTAACGGTCACTCCCCCTCATCACACATCAGTCCAGAGGTATGGTTACTGGACATGGATTTTGTGCATAAAGATATTCTGATAAAAAACAGGTAGGACCCTTCAATGACAGTCAAGGTATTTAAAAATTCTTCTACTTTCTGGATCAAGGGGACAGACCACTCAAATTAAAATCACCACAGGAATGCCATGTTCGTGCCCGGAAGCCGCCGGGGGCCCCACATTCTTCTGATGTCCGGTGTACGGTTAGGGAGGCCCGCCTCACCTCCAACACTGGGATCCTGGTCCCCTTACCTTTGGGTTCACTGACGCTGTTTAATGGTTTACTGGTAAACTCTTTAATCTGCAAAGAAAAACCGTTTGTTTGTTTTAATGATACAAGTTTGAAACTAGATAGGGACATACTGGATGATGGACAGATACGGTATTTAGTAAATTAACCTTTTCATGGAAGTCCTCCAAAGACAGGGGACAGATGGACTTTAAAGATATGAAGGCAAAAATTGTATAAAAGTAGCATTTGGATTGGGCTGCTTCTCAAAGTAATCACAGAAAGAAATTCTCTACCTTCAAATTTATTCTAAATTCTAATTGAATAAATTTGCTTGCTCTTTACAGTTTTTTTTTTTAAAAAAATACCTTGAAAAAATTATCTTATTGGATTTACTTTTACAACCACAGGGAAGAACATATTCTACCTCCTTTATCTTACCCAACTTACAAATGCTCTAAAATAAGACAGAATGTTCTTCAATAAATTGCACTGCTTGAAGAAAAACAGGGCTAATATCTAGCCAAATATACCTGTTGTCTCTGCGTGATAATCAGTTCATTCTGTTCCTGGAGTCTCTGCCCTAGCTCTTCTATCCTTTTCTTGTAGAAAACATTGCTTGCATTGAGATCGTCTATCATGGAGGTTCGAAGTTTCTCTATATGTGACAAGAGCTGGAAAAAATAAATAAATAAAGGCATGCGTAATGTCTCCAATCCACCATCTGTATGCACACACCCCGTGTTCTTTGCTGGCCTCAGGTTATCTGTGCACTTCAAGTCACTGAATACATCTTTGGTCACTGTGTACCAAGACCTCAGCTGTGACCTAAGACACAACACTGAGAAGGTGAACAGCTGTGTGCACTTGAGCACACAGCACATGACACACCGCAGGGATGAGCACTGATCCAGCATCGGGGCGCTCCCACAGAGTGGCCGTAACCCCGCGCCGGCCTGCCCCTCAGGCGTCCACATGGGCCTGCGTTGAGAGCCCCCCTTCATTATTTGTATGTCCAGTGACTAAGTACAACCTCAATAAATCTTTCCTGAGAAAAGGAAGGTGGAAGAAGGGAAGAGGGAGAGAGGGATGCAGAGAACAGGAAGATCCCAAGATTCATAGACAGATTCGTCTTCAGAGACTTCATGTCAGGAAAGATCATACACTGGACATTAAAACAAAGATTCGAAAAGAATTTGTTTTCAATGATTTAGGCAAAGATTCTTAGAACAATTTCACTAGTCGCTTACACCGAGGGGAAAAACACGTGGGTCACTGGAGCTAAAGGCATTCCCAGCCTACAGCCTGGAATGGAGGCCACGTGCAGAGGGGGCTGAGGGGGCAGCGGCGAGGGCGCCTCGGAGGAGCAGAGAGGGCAGGAGGCAGCACTTCCCGACTCGCTTGGCTCTGCCTAACAAACCCTCACTGAGCACTTCAGCTTGTTGCAGCCACACCGCAGCCTATGGATGCATGTTTTGATGCCACCGTACAGGTGAGGGAACTCAGGTCTAGAGAGAGTTAAGTGGATGGTCCGAACTCAGACGGCGGGAGGGGAGGAGCCCAGACCTGAGCGTTCTTGTCTGGCTTCAAAGTACTGCTCTCAAATTTAGTGACTAAGTCACGGAACATCTTAGTAAACAGCACTTGCAAACAATCAGGTAGAAATAAGTCGCCAAGGGGCGCCTGGGTGGCTCAGTCGTTAAGCGTCTGCCTTCGGCTCAGGTCATGATCCCGGGGTCCTGGGATCGAGCCCCGCTTCTCCCTCTCCTCCCTGCTCGTGCTCTCTCTCTCTCTCTCTCTCAAATAAATGAATAAAATCTTAAAAAAAAGTAAAATAAAAATAAAAAGAACCTTTCATATCCTAGTGGATGCCAAGAATCTCCCCCAGGAGAACGCTGTTAAGAACCTTCCTTACATTTTTACAGACCACGGGAAGAGGACCCCAAAGCAGTTTGGAACACGCTGAGCTGGAAAATAGAAGGAAAAGCCAGTGAAAATGCCCAGGGCTTGGGACGGAAGTTTAGGATCAACAAGATGTGGAGTCATTCCAGATCGCCCAGAAGAAAGGGACACAAGAAACACTAAGGGATGGCAACATTTCGATACTGGACTTGAGAATTGACCAGAAAAGCACAGAAAGGAGTTTGCTGAGAGAGGAATGTGATAATCTAAGCAAGGGATAGCCAGAAATTATTTCAGAAAGTTTGTGGCCCTCGAGCCCATTACTTGTGACCTCCTGTCCTTTCAAGTACTGGGTTCTTTCTCTCCGCCAGAGCACAGTACTCTGTCCCTTCCTTCCGTTACGTGACCACCCTACAGGCTCCAGGCTCCACGGAGTCTTCTATCAGGTCAAAGGGCATGCCATCGTTTATCTGTAACTCCCTTTGAACTCCTACCAATGTTATTTAAAAAAAAAAAAAAAAGACTGCCAAGAACCTAGGTAAAGCAATAAAAAGTTGGCAATCGCAACTTCCCTTCAACAGAAAAACACAATATGTGCATTGTAGGACCAGTAGGCAGCAATCATGTGGAATAATTAATGGTTAGGTCTCAGGCCGAGATTACTAAACCTGATCGAATTCTCCCCTCTGTTTGGGTTTAAGAGAAATTAAGGAAGAAGAAAGCAGCTTCCAAGCTAGCAAAACCAGCAGACAATGACGGACATGGAGCAGCGTAGCCTAGTGGCAGCACGAAGCCTCCACACACCCAAGACGTAGGGCAGCTCGCCTCACTCAGAACCAGGGAAGACCTCTCCTCCTTCCTCCAACCCGCCACCAGGCGGTCCTTCCATCGTGACTTGCGGGGGCCAAGCGTACAGATCTGCCACTTGCATTCTGTTCCTGCCAGAGGGCCCCTGAACCGACAGTTCCCATGCCGGTCTAGGACACCGGAGGCTTTAAAGGAGCAAGGACTAAACATCCTCCCCTATTCGTCAGGAAGCCTGTCCCTAATACCAATGCTAGAAGACGCCTTGGAGGATTAGAGTAGAACTTCAAATTATAAGGGCAGTGGTTCAAACCGTGGCTCCAAAGCAGAAATCATCTGGGGTTTGGTGCTCCCACCGCCCAAAACTACAATACGCATGCTGCACCCCAGACTGAATCAGAATCTCGGGCAGTGGCGCCGGGATGTGTATTATGGGAAAGAGCCGCTGGTCATTCTCAAGTGCGTCCCTGGTTCAAAACTACTACCTTAGAACATCTCCAAGAGATGCTCGAACATTCTCCCAGAGAAGCAACTCCTCGACGTTGTCACCGCCTGTTCTCCTTGCGAGCTGGCTCAGTGCCTCAAGCCCTACACACGAGCAAGGCTACACGGCTGACAAGCAAGACCCCGAGTTTAAGAGGACCCGGGTTCAAATACCATGCTCATACAAACAGAGGACTCTTTCAACCCTGCTCTTCTAAACCCTATGCTCCACATTTCTCCACCCACAAAAGCAAGGTTGAACAATCCCCTTGGGGGCCGAATAGCCACCTTCCACATTCGTTCCGCAAATATTTAATGAACGCCAATCACATTTTGGGTACGTTAGTCGATGCTGGGAATACAACAAAAAACGAAATAGGTAGAGCCCCTCCCTCATAGGGCTAGTGATCTGGCTGGTGAGACACACAATAAACAAGTGAATAAATAATCAAGTAACTATGTGAGACAGTGATCAGAGTTACACGTGTGAAGTGGTGGGAACAGTAAGGGAGGATGGTGTCGGGTGACTTGGAAGCCAAGGCCAGAGGGGACTGAGGCAGGCAGAATTCTAAATGGCCCTCAAGTTTGCATCCCCGGAGTGCACGCCCTGTATAATCCTTTTCCCTTGGCGGAGTTATGAACTGAGTGTCTGTGCGCCTCTCCACCAAACTCATAGGTTGAAGCCCTAATCCCCCATGTGATGGTATTAGGAGGTGGGGCCTTTAGGAGGTGATTAGGTTTGGATGAATTAGGGTAGGGTCCTCATGATGGGATTAGTGCTCTTAGGAGAACCCAGAGAGCTTTCTTTCCCTCTCTCCCTGCCCCATGAAGACACACAGAGAGGGCAGCCACTTCCCAGCCTCCAGAACAGTGAGAAAGAAATGTCTGTTGTTTAAAGCCACCGGTCTGTGGCACTGTGTTATAGCAGTGTGAGCAGACCAAGACATGGATTGGGTGGGATCTAAGAGATGCTTCCACCCCACACAATACAGCAAGAGTGAGGGGACTTGACAGAGGCAATTAAAGTCCCTAATCTGCTGGGCGCCTGGGTGGCTCAGTTGGTTGCGCGACTGCCTTCAGCTCAGGTCATGATCCTGGAGTCCCAGGATCGAGTCCCGCATCGGGCTCCCTGCTCGGCGTGGGGTCTGCTTCTCCCTCTGACCCTCCCCCCTCTCATGTGCTCTCTCTCTAATAAATAAATAAAATCTTAAAAAAAAAAAAAAAGTCCCTAATCTGCTGAGTCTGAGTTAAAAGAAAGATTACCCTGCGTGGGCCTGTCTTATTCGGGCCAGTCGCCCCCCAGCTGGCCTTAACGAAGTCAACAGCCGGCTAGTGAGCTGTGGAGCTAAGGGTCCTGATCTACGGTGAACCCGAAGGAACCACATAGTGCCAATAACCTGAACAATGCTTGGTTTGACCCTGAGCCCCGGACGAGAACACAGCCCATCTGACACCCCCCAGGGCAGCTGTGAGACCCTGTGCACAGGACCCGGGCAGGCAGTGCCTGGCCTCCTAGCCCATGGACACTGAGGTGGCCAACTGCTGGTAATTTGCTACACTAATACAGAGGGAATGGAGCCAGCCTTGTGAAGAGCCAATGGAAGGACATCCCAGCAGCAAAAACCCTGTGTGGAAAGAGAAAAAGGCCGGCATGTTCTCTAAGTGACCGGAAGGCTAGTGTAGTCGGAAAGAGTAGGTCCGGAGAGAGGATCTGGATGAGGCCGCAGTGGTGGCCGGCAGCCAGAGGGTCTTGTCTGCTCTTTGGAGGGCAATTGGGAAAGGGGTAGGTTGGAACTGGGAGACGAGTTATGGGGTCCTTTTAGAAACGGCAGGGCCTCAGTGGAAGGGAAGAGCAATGGAAATGTGCAGAAGAACACGGATATGAGACACATGGAAGGCCCTGCCGACGGCTAGGAGCTGGGCACTGAGGGAGAGTTGGGGCTCAAGGCGGGCACCTGACTGCTCCGACCAGGACGCCACTGGACAAAGGAAAAGCACATCATCTGAGACATGTTACACTCAGGAAGGCTCGGAGATATCAGGTCCAAAGCTGGCTAGCCCATCTGCAGCTCAGAGGGAGAAATAAACATGGGCCTTACACCCACAGACGGCCACGACCTCACTTTACAAACTCTCTGCTCAATCCCCAGAGCCCCAGACTATGAGAAATACATGCCTGTTGTTTGTCAGCGACCCGGTCTACCGTATTTTGGTACCGTATAGCAGCCGACCAGGCTAAGACACAGGGGACACAAAGGGCTACAAAATACATACAAAGTGAAAAAAGAAACACAAGTTTCCCTGTCTTAAAATCTCAAAAGTACTTTAGGTTTTCTACACCGGTGTAAACACTTTCACACTTAAATTTGTGATGCACTCAGCTGAAAAGCAGTAATATCATCAAACTGTTTTCATTAAAATGATTTTAACGTGAGCAATCCCTGCCTTTCTTAAAGATTATTGAGACTGCCACACTGCAAGGTGGAAAAGTCAGAAACGATGTGTTCAACAATGAAGGAATCACTAAGTAACTTATGAAACATCCATAAGATCCTTCTCCAGCCATTAAAAAAAATCACGATTTTGATGTCTATTTTAAAACAGGAGAATGTTTAGATATATTAAACAAAAAGCACATACGGTTATAAAGCATGATTCAAAATTTGTAAGACTACATGTATGGGTTTCTATAATACAGAAACAATATTTAAGGCATTGGACACAGACTGAAAAAAATTATAACAAAGTCGTAGCAGTGGTTATTGAATTATAAGATTTATTTATTTGCGAGAGAGAGAGAGAGAGCACGCGCACGAGTAGGGGGGAGGGGTAGAGACGGAGAAGCAGGCTTAAAATTCCTTATAATTCGGGGCAGGGAGCCTGATGTGGCGCTGGATCCCAGAACCCTGAGATCATGACCTGAGCCGAAGGCAGACGCTTAACCGACTAAACTACCCAGGTGCCCCGAATTATAAGCAATTTTAATTTTTGTCACACGTTTCTCCACAAATTTTATTCTCTACCTTTGTCATAGAGGGAAAAAAATATATTCTTTTCAAAAATGACCCACTGACAGACCGTTGGCTTCTTAGTCTTACCCGGCCCTTCTCTTTCTTGTGTTCTTGATGAAGAGCTTGAACTCGGGCCGTCCACTTGCTTTCCTACGACACAGGAAAACCAGAGGAATTTATGTGCAGTTGCAGCAATAAAATCAACTTGAAGTGGAAGCTTTTTAGTGGGTACCTATGGAACCCAACTACCTCCTTGGTGACATTTTAGCAGGCTTTTTTTTTTTAGACTATAAAGCCTCAAAAATGTTTAAACACATCTGCACTTGGTTTTAATCTTAAACTCTACGGCAGGGGTCAGCAAACATTTTCTGCTAAGGGACTAATAGTAAATATTTTGGGCTCTGGAGGCCACTTGGCTCGATTGCTACTACCAGCAGTAGGAGAACATCCATAAATAATACGTAAGTGGGTGGGCATGGCTGTGTTCCAATAAAATATTATTTTCAAGAATACGTGCCAGTGTGCCAATCTAACGAGCTAAAAGGCAACACCGAGGTTTCTGAGGCCTGGGGTTCTGATCTGACAACACAGCTCACAGGAAGGAAACAAGAAATGCAGGTCGGGCCTTGGGATTTTGTAATGGGGTCTTTCAATTCCTGAGAGACCAGCTTGCAGGGAGCAGCTATCCACAGTTCAGTACCGGACACGATTCCTGGTCCCCTACCACGTCCCAGGGATCTCGCTGGACTGCCGTGGCCAGTGAGGGGAGGACCAGGGGAGACGCACTCTGCCCTGCACAGGAGGAAAGCAAACTTAACAGAGAGTTGCCCCCATCAATGTGTACGTGAGCAGGTCCTGCTTGGGGGCGCTACAGAAATGCAATAACCCAGAGGTCCAGGAGAACTCTCTAGAAGAGGTGTTGCCCCAGCTGACGGAGTAAGCCAGAGGTCCTGAAAAACTGAGAAGGGCATGATAGAGAAAGCCACAAGGGCAAAAGCAAAACACAGAAAGCCGTGTTCTGGGAGCCATGAGCCGTTTGGTGCAGCCGGGATCTTCAAGGTAAAGCCAAGAATGGTGGGGGATGACACAGGGTCCAGATCCTCAGGGACTCTGACTACCGGTTAAGGATTCCGGACTTGGTCAGGATAAGACGGGACAGTGACGTGGTCAGCCTGGCTGCAAGGTGGAAGGTGGACTGCGGGGAGGGAGGTAAGACATGAGTGGCAAAGTATGCAACAGAAGCAGTCGTCTATATTTCAAAAACACATTTACTTTTTTTAAATGTTATTATTGTTTTTTTTAACAAAGTCCTGAATTTATAAACTTTGATCTCTATTTGTTTCTTATTTGATCTCTATTTGAAAAACAATGTTCCCCTAAACTAGTATGACGAAAATTGCCGGAATGGCCGCTGATTACAGAGGGCCACGGCGATTAGGTTTGATAAATGAAAAAAGACCATCAGTACACCAATGTAGCCATATATTTATGCTCTAAAAATAAAGTTAGTGCTTCAGCATGTCTTTCTATGACTTTTGAAAGTGGGACCTATGTCTGAAATATGAAAAATAAACTCTAAGGTAATCCCAAACAATTCAAGGTGCTACCATGTTAGCAAAAAAGGAAACAATTTTGCCAACTGTTCTATAATCTACATCGATTAGTCAATCAACAAGCATCTAATGAACACCTATTATTATGTATCTGGAGACAAGAAGAAAAGAATTAGCTTCATGGTCGCTGACAGAGACAAACCCCTTTTCTGTGGGTAATGCTTGCTGTAAACTGCTTCACTAATTAAAATCAGGCCCCTCCTACAGTGACTGCCCGTGGGGACATACCTGACTGTCAAGAAGTTGCATCACATTTTGGAAATCCTGGGGATACTGAGGACGTTCTTCTTTAAATTCATGTGCATCCTTTAACGTGCCTATGTTGGACTTGATCTGCATGTTGGACTTCTGGATTTCTGACAATTGCTAGAAAATAAGATGCAAACCCACTGGTACAGATGTTTGTACTTTTATAAGACGAAAACAGAGAATGAAATTGGGGAACGCTGTAGCCACTGTTAAATCTGACTGTCCTGGGGCACCTGGGTGGCTCAGTCGTTAAGCGTCTGCCTTCGGCTCAGGTCATGATCCCAGGGTCCTGGGATCGAGCCCCGCATCGGGCTCCCTGCTCTGCGGGAAGCCTGCTTCTCCCTCTCCCACTCCCCCTGCTTGTGTTCCCTCTCTCGCTGTGTCTTTCTCTGTCAAATAAATAAATAAAATCTTTAAAAATAAATAAATAAATCGACTGTCCTACTAGAGGCCAGCTCTGACGGGCTGGCAGGATTTTTCTGTAAAGAGCCGGGCAGTATTCTGGGTTCAGGAGACCTATAAGGTCTTGGTCATAACCACTCAGCTCTATGGCCCCCACACAAAAGCACCGGGGACAAAATGTAAAGGAACACATGTGGTTGGGTGCCAATAAAACTTTATTTGTGGACACGGAAATGGGGACTTCATGTAATTTTTATGTGTCGTGAAATATTCTTTTTTTTTTTTTTAAAGATTTATTTATTTATTTGAGAGAGAGAGAAAGTACATGAGATGGGGGAGGGTTAGAGGGAGAAGCAAGCTCCTCGCCGAGCAGGGAGCCCGATGCGGGACTCGATCCCGAGACTCCAGGATCATGACCTGAGCCGAAGGCAGTCGCTTAACCAACTGAGCCACCCAGGCGCCCTGTCGTGAAATATTCTTATGACTCTTTTCAACTATTTAGAAATACTAAAACCTTTCTTAGCTCGCTGGCCATACAAAAACAGGTAGTAAGCTAGATTCGGCTCACAGGTTGTGGTCTGCCAACCTCTGTGCAAAAGTTCAAGGCGTTTTTAGAAAAGGCCCTTAGCCGTGTTCCAAAAATATCCCTCCATTTTCGTTTGCAAAGCTTGTCCCCTAGAGGGAGCTCAAGGATCTTGCTTCCTTTCCCCAAGGGTGACGCAGGACTGAGCTGCCCATCCAGCTCAGGTAATTCTTAGCCCGAAGACAACAGCCACTGTCAGAGTTTGAGGTCCCACCCCAGCGAGGCGTGTCTCTGTCTATGCGTGTGGCTACGGCAGTGTGGACCAAGGCTGCTCCCACAGGGGATGGAGGCTCAGTTAGCCACATTCTGCTTGTTCAGACCCCCTGTCCTCCTCACCGGCCAGGCCTGGGATCAGGGAACTGGGAAAAGGTTCTACTTCTGTCTTTCTGGGTTGGCTTCCACAATGGTAACCCGTGTCAGCCTTTCCAGAAAGTTCCTTTCGAACTCTAAAAGCTTCAAAAATCAGAGTTTATGGCTATCTAAACCTAAAGAGCAAAGGAAAGAGAGACCCTCTTCTATGATCTGACCAAAGGTACCAAATATACCAAGGGCTCTTTCTTAAGATTTTTTTTATTTTTAAGTAATCCTTACCCCCAACGTGGGGCTCAAACTTACAACTCTGAGATCAAGAGTCCATGCTCCAGTGACTGAGCCAGCCACCTGCCCCTCAAATGTATCAAGTGTTCTTCACATGCATTTGGGGCTAAAGCTCCCATTCTCAAAGATGCAACTTTGCTGACTTGCTCTGTCTTCTGCATGTCTCGAGCTCCCTCAGCACTCTTGGGAGGAGGGGTGTCTGGGCACAATAAAGTAATGTCTAGATCTGGGGCCGTAATGCCATTCTAACGCCACTTCTCAAGGCAACAACCCTACCAATACTATGAGGACTTTTTTTTTTTTTAAAGATTTTATTTATTTATTTGACAGAGAGAGACACAGCGAGAGAGAGAACACAAGCAGGGGGAGTGGGGGAGGGAGAAGCAGGCTTCCCACGGAGCAGGGAGCCTGATGCGGGGCTCGATCCCAGGACCCTGGGATCATGACCTTAGTCGAAGGCAGACACTCAACGACTGAGCCACCCAGGCGCCCCACTCTGAGGACTTTTTGGCTTAATACTTACATATTCTAATGCTGAATTCTTGGAAGTCAATTCTTTAAACTCTTTCATAAACATTTCCTTGACTTTTTCCATTTCGCCAACTAGTTTCTCTTTTTCTTCTTCTTTCCATCTATCAAATAACTTCAGAAATTCTTCCTCTTTTGTTTTTTGCATTTCATATTCCTGAAATTATTTTAATGCATGGCTTTAAAAGTTCTGATATGAAGCAAATATGCAAAATTTTAAATACATGGACATAGCTTCACCTCCAATGTGGCAGCTAGTACTGTGTGTATAAGTTAGGTTTACAATCACACTTCATATAATGGCCAAGCACACAGTGGTTTTTCCAAACCAAAAACAGCACACAGCATCCTTTTGTCCTTACACCTCTTAAAATACAAACACAGAAGCCCAAAGTCTCAAGAATTCTGTGATCTATGAACTTGCAGAGTAGATATGCAATAATATGTAAAATGTAAAAATACTTTAAAAGAAAATGTCTGTTGAGCAGAAGAACCATTCTCAATACTGTAACAATTTGGATAGAATAGCCCCATCTCACCCCCCAAAAACACAAATTCATATTCATACAAGCTAAATTCAAAGTCTAGTCAATCAGCCTTTGATTTCTCAATGACCCTCACTTTTTGTTTTTTTTTTTTACCTAACTGGGCACTTAACACGATAAATAAACTCAGTCTGACAAACATACAGAACACTGAACCCAACAACACCAGAACATAAATGCACATGGAAGATTCACCAGGATAGACCATATGTTACGTCATAAAAGATTCTCAATACATTTTAAAAGATTGAAATCATGCTAAGTGTATTCCCAACCACAACAGAATGAAGCCAGGAATCAATAACAGAAGAAAAACTGGAAAACTCATGAATACTTGAAAATTAAACAACGTACTCTTAAGCAATCAATGGGCCAACAAAAAACTCACTAGGGAAAATAGAAAATACTTTGAGATGAATGAAAATTAAAACACAACATACTGAAAAAAAGAAAAAAGAAAGAAACAGAGAAGCCAAAGCAGTGCTCAGAGGGAAATTTATAGCTGTAAATGCCTACGTTAAAAAAAAAAAAAA